CCCCAAAACCCCAAAACCCCAAAACCCCAAATTAATCAAAAATTTAATAAATTTTGTGGGAAATGAACGATCGGAGACAGATCAAAATCAGGAAATACTTCGATCCTTCCAGGAAGGAGAACCGGAGCACAGCTCATAGGTAAGTGTTCAGCCTGGATTTAAGTGACAGTGGTCTTATTTATACTATAGGGGTCTAGGAAAGCAGATTAGAAGGAGCAAGGAAGATAAGAGAAGAGCGGACCTGAAGAAAGCAGCTGGAAAAGAAGGAATTATGCCGATTAGGTCTATTAGGTCGTATTTTACAATGGGGAATAAGCTAGATAAGGTACTGGAGAGTAGTGAAAAGGTCACTGAGACTAAAGATACTGAAAATTATCAGAATTTGAAAGAAATTGAGAAACAGTCGGAAATTGTTCCTGAGAAATCTTTGGAAGAGATCCCAACCCAGGTTGTGCGTTATTCTCAGAAAGTAGAAGAAGAGAAGATGCCTTTAGTGAAAGAAGAAGCGAAGAAGCTTGATCCTCAAACTTTGAATGAAATTGATGATGGTTTTTGGTTTCCTTTCGAAATTACTTCAAATCTTCGGAGAACACAAGAAACTATGGCGACTATGAACCAACTTTCTGAAGGAGAACCTCTAAGGAAATGCTTCCTTTACTCGGATAGAGGGATGAATAAGGGTTGAAAGTGCTATGTTGAAACTACCACTGAATTCTCACAAAAATACACTGAAAAAGCTTTCATTGGAAATCTCTACAGTAATGTCGGGATCAGCCTTGCAAAAATATTGGATTTTGGAAAATGTATAGTCACTGCTCAATTTGACACTATTGAGAAGCAAGTGCACATCAAGATAGACTTGCAACAGCCAGTTTTAAAGAACCAAAGAAGAAACTTAACCTGAAGTTTTTCCCAGTCACAGACGTCAGAAACAGTGGGTGGGGTGTATAACTTAGAAAACCTTGCAGGACTTCCGAAAAAGATCAAATGGGCTTTTTGCGATCTTAACAAGTTTAATAAAACTAAGAAGAAATGTTTAAAAACAAATATGAATGGAGAGAATGCAGAGTATCAAATGAAATCAGCTAAGGAAATCCTGATGATTGCCCAATCAGCAAGGGAGGAAGCCAAAGAAGGTAAATTTCCTAATACTCCAAATCTGAGAAATATAGCTAAATCACTGCAAGAGTACAATGAAAGCGGCATAAATCTTGTCTGCAGGACAGTGTTGGGATACTCTCATCTCTTCACAGATGAAGAGAAGGAAATCCTACAAAATTTCTCAGAACTAGATTATTTAGCTCAGACATTGTTTACTAAAATGCTTTTTAGAAAGAGAGTTTGGTTTTCAAGTCATAATCTGAAGGATTATTGTAAGAGTCCAGCTCAAATTAGAGGCTCCCTCAAACTATTGATCAAGCTAGGCTTTGTGGAAAAGCCTAAAGGACTGATGAAAGATCTGCACCAGCTGAGAATTTTTTTGGAATCACTTTCTTCTAAAGAATTGACCGAATTCTCTAAAATTTTGGGAAGAAAATTTAATAAATATCCCCCAACTGTAGAGAATACTTTTCCTGACTTCAAGGGTGCTGACATGGAATCTCCTATTGTTGCATTATCGCCCTTTAGAAATTTAAGTGAAATTGGAAAGAAATGAATTGATGACCTAATTTCAGGCTATGTAAGAATGAGCAAATCAAATGTCAAAGGAGCATCAAAGTTTAGCAAAGGGAAATCAATGAGTGATATAGTAGAAAGGATAGAAGCATACAAGGCATACCAGTCAGGAAATTCAAAAATTCTAGCAAAATCATCAACTCTCCATAGGTTTCTCATCAGCAAACAAAGTAAGGAATTAAAGGTCCAAAATTTAGAACCCCTCCAAGAGTCTGAGGAAAATCCAGATAATGACTTTGACACCCTAGTTGCTGAAAAACTTGAGCCGTACTACCGAATCCCTGAGAAGATAGAATGTTTACTCAAAATATCTCTAGATCTGTTCTACTTCTACCAAGTAAGTGATCCACATCAAGCAATGGCACTGCATGAATATGGATCATACTCGTACAGCATTAAAGAGAGCTATTTGGAGGTTGCTAAAGAAGGTAAACTTGGAGAGTCTGGATATGAACATGTTTATCCTTTATTCAAAAGCAGAGAGCAGTTTCTGGCTTTCAACCAGCTATATCAGGTCAGATGATATATTTCTCATATTAGTGACACTAAGTACACTCCTGTTGAGAGAGGAATCTTGGCTGAAGTTATTGCCCTCTACTCATTAGAGAAGCAAGGCTTTGACCCTAAAGTTTTAAGGCCAGAAAATATCAGAAAAGAAATTAATGAGTACATCAAAAAGATCGTTTTTGATACAGAGTTCAAGCAAGATGATGAGTATTGGAGGAAGAATGCACATAAATTGTTCCAAACGAGGTTCCTCCCTAATTCCATGCTTCCTATGATAGATAATAAGTGCTCAGATTTCCTTGAGAAAGGCAAGAAATACGAACTTTCAGTGCTACTTCTCCTGAATCTGCTATTCAGTCGAGTAAAGAAACATAAGAGAGGAAAGTGGTGGCATAGACTCTCAGTAAACCTGAATCACATCGGAATGCCTGTTGAAGCCTTTTGCATCTGTTACAAAGCATTGAAAGACGATAAGACCATCAATAACGGTAAAAGGAACTACCTAGTTCTCTACCAGAAAGTCCTCAAGCGGAACATTTTCAAGATCTTCAACGAAAGAGACAAGCGGATCGAAAAATTAGAAGCTAAGCTAACTCACAAACAGTTTAAACGAAGGATCGGAAAATGAGAATTTGAGAAAGAAAAGCAAAAAATAATGGACGAATATTTCCTTAAGTTCAACATTCTTTATAAACTTGAGCTCCAGTCTTTGTTCTCAGAGGAATATCGATATGACTGGAAGGATTACAAGAAGCAGAAAGAAGTTGAGAGGCTACTTGCTCCTAAATGGAACTTCATGGAAGTCACAACTGAGCAAAAATACAGAAGATCTTATTTTAAAGAACGGTACCTTAAGTGCCCACGAGCAACTGGTAATAATGGTGAAAATTTGGGAACAATCTACCTGAATCATACAAATGGGAAGATTTATAGAGTTGAAGACCTTGCTTTGTACTATTATTGAAACAAGGAAGGATATTATGGGATCCACTCAGAGAATGGGTTCGGAATTACTCTTTTCGGACTCTTTATGTGGGAGCAAATATTTGACAACACCGTGCCAGGTGTTTTCCAGAGTCCGTACCAGTTTGCTCCACTTGATTATGGCTCAAACGAGTTTTATTTCAACAGAGAAGAGAAGATACTAAAAAGACTAAAGAAAATAAAGGAGATGACTCCAGAAGAGTTGCGTGATGAGATTGAAATCCTGTGGGAAACTCATAAATATAAGCATAATTGAGCTATTAGCTGGGATTCGATCAGCTTCTCTAAAGAGAAGTTGAAAGACATTATCCCATGTATGGGTGGAGATATCCTAGCTAAGATTGTGAAGAAATACTGATACGACTACAAAAATTGGAATCATGGAATGCCAGATTTGCTCTTATGGAATCCTGAAGAAAAGAAAATCAAATTTTCAGAAGTCAAGAGCGAGTTTGATAAACTCTCAGAGGTCCAAAAAGGCTGGTTAGAATACCTCAGCCAATGTGGTATACATGCTGAAGCATGATATATTAATCGAAGAGGTAAAGAGCACTGTGCAATTGATGCTGTCTAAAAAGATAATTTCTCTTAATTTTTCAAAAATTTAATAATCAAAAGGGGTTTTGGGGTTTTGGGGTTTTGGGGTTTTGGGG